CACATATTAGGTGCTCAATATTTGTTAGTTTGATGAATTTATCAATTTCTTCTAATATCTAACTGAACAACTGGGCATAAAGAAAGTCATATCAAATTTTTAAAATTTTTATATTGAATCATAGAAGCTGTACATATTTATGGGTGCCGCATGATGTTTGGACACAGGTATACCTTGTGTAATGTCAAGTTAAGGTAAGTATACCTACTAAAACCTTTATCATTTCTTTGTGGTAAAAAGATTTAAAATGCTTCTTCTAGCTTTGTTACAAATCTGTACCAAAATACACTACTTTGTTACCTACAGTTATCCTCCTGCACAACACAACCACCAGAACCACTTCCCCTGTCTGTCTGTGATGTGACCATTCTTCCCCCACCCTTCTTCCCTTTGACACTGCCCAGCCTCTGATAACCACTATTCTACTCTCAGCTTCTATGAGATCAACTTTTTGGGTTACACAGATCTTGTAGTGTTTGTCATTCTGCTTGGATTGGTTCATTAAACACAATGACCTGTAGTTCCAAAATTAATAGAATTCTATCCTTTTACAGATGAATAGTATTCCATTGTATATATGCTAAATTTTCCTATTTATACCACTTAAAATGTGTGGCCTATCTGAAAAATAGGTTGTCAGCAGTGCTTCTTATAGAACTGAAAGTCAGGTTTTACAAGAACAGTAATAATGGACTGCTTTAATGGACTGTTTTAATACATTTATACTTAACTCCTACTCCATCCCCTTTTATGAAATTAGAGACAGAAAATAGGCCATTGAAACCCACAGAGCATCTTGTATTTTTGTAATAATGACTCTTAATAATGTGTCCGAACCCAAAGCCTACCCACAGCTTGTTTAACATTGTAAATGAAAAGATTCAGAGATGCAATTTGCTTAGGAGAGGTGGGCATAATATTCCAAGGAATATTCAATCTGGAAAGGGAAGTGAATGGCCGCTCTTGAAAATAGATTGTTTTATTCTGTGAGGTCTTCCAAGAACAGTTCATTGTGCTGGTAGCAAGATGTCACAGCTCTCCCCAGGGGTATATAAAGTCCTTAATGAATTAGGCTATGATTTGAGGTAGTCTTCCTGAGATCATGAAGCGAGATGTGACAAGACTGAAGCTGTCAGCGTGTTCAGGGCATGTATATGGGCACTTGTTATCTTCTACTTTAGTCATTTGAGTAACTAGGTGCACAGCTCTGTCTCTCAGCTCCTCAGACCTCTGAATCCTGCAGTATCCCCTGGGTCTCTGCCCTGGTTGCTTCACTGGCCCCATGGACTGGATCTTTGAGCTGGAAGCATCAGTGTTCAGACCATTGCTCAATGATCAGAAGTACAATTAAGAAGGGAACTTTCTTACAGAAACATCCTTGCATGCATTTCTTAAAAATTATGTATTTGGAAGGGAGGGAGGAGGAGCGGGGGGTGAGAGGGGGAAAGAGAGTGAGAAGAATGCTCATCTGATGATTTACTCCTCAAAAGCCTGCAAATCTGGGGCAGAGCTGGGGGCCAAAGATGGGAGCCAGCAACACAATCCAGGTTTCCCACACAGGGGGCAGGAATCCAATTATTTCAGCCATCACCACTGCCTCGCAGAGCATTAGCAGGAAGCTGGAGTCTGGAGCTGGAGCCAGGAACCAAACCCAGGCATGCATATGTCAGATGTGAGCATGTTAACCACTAGGCTAAATGCTTGCCCTTCCTGACAGGTATTTGCTAGATTCCCCTGTAGTTATATTTGAGTACCATTATTAAAATGCCAATGCTATTATTAAAATATATTTTAAAGGGCGAGTTGGTCACCTGAATTCTGCACATATTAATTATTCATTCATAGTTTAAAAATCATTACTACTGTTAACCTCTGTCTCAGTCATTTTTGGCTCTATAACTAATCAATCATTTTTGGCTCTATAATAAAATACCAGAGACTGGATAATTTATAAATAATGGAAATTTCTCCTGTTCTGGACACTGAGAAGTTCAGATCAAGGTACCCGCAGATTCTGTTGTCTTGTGAGGGCTGTGTCCTGACATGGTAGAAGGCTAACTGGCAAGATAGCCATGAGCTTTAGGAAGCCTGTTTCATCAGGGCCTTAATCTGATTCACAAGGAGAGGAGCCTTCATGCCCTAATCACTTCTCAAACTCCCACCACTTAATACCATCACACTGGCCATTCAGTTCCAACATCTGAATTTTGGAGGGGACCTATTCAAACCATAGTAACATATTAAGAATCAATGTGATATTGAAATAAATCTTTTGATTCTCTTCAGAGCATGTGATTCACATTAATCAGAAATATCAGCTTTATTTATACTATCCCAATTTATAAGGAATTAATTCAAATTTTAAAAAAGTCTTTTCTCTTCTGGTCCTGTCTTCTTGTGCCAGGCTCCTGTTTCTTATTACCACATGGACCTATTAGTCCTCTTGAGTTTCTCAAGCTCAATGAGTCAAATCCAAATTTATCATCCCATGTTCCTGAAGGTGTTCTCGTGGTGAACTTTGTCAGCATTCTCTTGGTATTAATATGTGAATTACTTTACTGCTTTCTGTATCTTAATTTGGACCTTCATCTTATCAGCCCCTGGATTTTCAAAATTCATTTATTAAATTTGTTTTTATTTAAAATTTTTGAGTAATATGTACTATTTGTATATTTTTTAAAAGTACAGTGCGATATCTCAACACATACATGTAGCATCAACTGATCCAACCTGGTAACCGGCCATCCATTTCCTTTGTACTTGAGATCTACCAGCTCCTCTCTTCAACTTCTTTACACAGTGAATAATTCAACACCCTGAACTGTAGTCAGTCCGATGTGCATGGAACACTGGAACTTGTGCCTTCTATCTGACTGTGTTTAGGTCCCTGTTACCCAACATTCCTCCATTCCCCTCCTTCCACCCTCTGCAGCTTCTCAAAATCATTATTTTAGTTCAGATTAAGAGTTTTGTTTCAAGTTCAACACAGGAGAGATACCTTACAGTGTTTGTTTTTTGGTGTCTGGTTTATTTCGCTCAACATGATTTCCAGTTCTACACACTTTGCCTTGTCAGGATTTCATTTGTTTCAGTGGTTGAAAATACTCCATTGTGTGTACATATCATTCTATTTATCCATTCATCTGTTGTTGGACACCGAGGTCGATTCCCTTTCCTTGACTGTTGTGAATGGTGCTTCAGTGAACATGGGAGTGTGTGTGTCTCTGTTACGATGATTTCATTTCCTTTGGATATGCATCCCCAGAAATGGAGTAGCTGGGTCATATGGTAAATCTGCTTTAGGATTTTGAGAAAATACCATACTGTTCTCCATATGACTGCACTAATTCATACTTTTCTCTACATCCTCATCAGACACTGGTAAAAAAAAAAAAAAAAAAAAAAAAAAAAAAAAGAAAAGAAAACAAAACAAAAACTAAATGAAAGATCTCTGTGAGATCCCAGTGAAAAGAATAGGTCATCAAAGGAGGAGGTACCTTTCTCTGAAGGGAGGAGAGAACTTCCACTTTCACTACAACCTTGTCTAAATATGATCAGAGTCGGTGAACTCAGGGGGCTTCCACAGCCTTGGCAACTCATGACAAGAGCCTAGGGTAATTACTGATGCCATAAACAAGAGTGTCAATTTGTTAAGTCAACAACAGGAGTCACTGTGCACTTACTCCTCATGTAGGATCTTTGTCCTTAGTGTGCTGTACATTGCGATTTAATGCTATAACTAGTACTCAAACAGTATTTTTCACTTTGTGTTTCCATGTGGGTGCAAACTGTTGAAATCTTTACTTAATATATGCTAAACTGATCTTCTGTATATAAAGAGAATTGAAAATGAATCTTGATGTGAATGGAAGGGAGGAGGGAGAGGGAAAGGGGAGGGTTGCGGGTGGGAGGGAAGTTATGGGGGGGGGAGGCCATTGTAATCCATAAGCTGTACTTTGGAAATTTATATTCATTAAATAAAAGTTAAAAAAAGTTAGAAATAGTGGGAACTATTTATCTCTCAATATTTAACAACACTGTAATTGACTGGGAGCCCTGGAAGGATGGAGTTCTGCACATCAGAACTCCTATGTTAATGTCTATGTCACATTAACTGTGACTAAATTCTTCTCAACATAGAATTAATCCTAATTTCTAGTGAGTTCACACACTGAAAACTTATGCACAAATATTTTCAAAAGTACATTTAAAATATTGTATATTGTTCTTGTAAAAAACAAGATAGGGTTAATCTTAAAAACCTATACAAGGTAAACTTAAAGTAGATCATTGTAAAATTAAGAGAGGGAATAGAGAGGAACAAAGAGGAAGGGTCAGAGCATGGGTGGGAAGTATCACTATGTTCCTAAACCTGTAGATATGAAATTTGTTTACCTTAAATAGATTACTTAAAATATTTTTAAAAAGTTAGAACACACTAGGAAAATTGGATAAATTGAAAATTTTTTGGAATCATAATAAAATCAGGAAACAACTGAAGTTTATATTTGCCATATTAGATCAGGGCAGTTAGGTAGTCTCCTATTCTACCCCGTTAGTCATGACAATAAAACAAACCCATATGACAGTCAAAAGGCCATATATTCTAGCTGTCATTTTCTTATACAAGTTTCTATTTTCAACTGTGCTCCTGTGACTCTCTGTAGTCAAATATGTTCCTGTAAGAGTCTTAAAATAACATTGGTAGGTAATCTATTTAAAATAAAAATGATATTTGAAACATTTTATTGTAGCAAAGCTCATGTATTCTTCTAGTTTAAAAATCATTGTGATTTTAATTAATTTTTCATCTTAAAGTCCTTTGTGTATGGTGTCTAGTATTAAAGAATTAGATCTGTTGATTTTCTAATGCCTTTAACGTGCTGTGAACCAAAAGTTAATGTAAAATTAATTATCCATTTCTCATGGTCTTTTCTATTATGATAATGTAGCAAGTAATAACTGTGATGTAGCAGGTAATTGATTTTCTATTCCTGTAGCTCCGGATGGTCCTCCTGAAAATGTGCATGTAGTAGCAACATCACCTTTTAGCATCAACATCAGCTGGAGTGAACCTGCTGTCATTACTGGTCCAACATTCTATTTGATTGACATCAAATCGGTAAGGCGTGCCTCATCTTCTCTAAAAGGCAGTATGGAACTTGGTGAAGAAAACAGGTTTTGGAATCAGACTATTTGAATTTTAATCCTAGTTCTGTTGAACTCTAGGCAACTAAGTTAACTTCTCTGTTATAATATCTACATCAGTAAAATAATGATTAATAATAGTACACAGGGTACAGAGAGTCTTTGAGAACTGAAAAAATTAGTATGCATAAAGAACTTGTAATATTGTTTGATGCATGATAAGCACTCAGTAAATGTAAACTGTTAGTAAATGTAAACATAGTTTCAGGGTATAGAAGATATGTGTATGCATATATACATACACTCATATATACATATTTATATATACATAATAAGTGGTTAAGTTGCTAGTAATATATTGGCTTGAAATACAGTGGAAAGGGATCTCATAACACAAAATAAGGAGGGAAACATCATTAAGGGAAACAGTTTTGAGATATGTAAATATCAGAGCTAAATGGTAAAAAATAACGGAAGCAGAACATGAGAAGAAAATGGGGATAGAGGAATAAGAGTATGTCTCATTCAGGAAAAGCAAGGGGTTGCGCAATCTCAGATCACAGCATTGGAGAAGCACAGTGCTGAGAGATGCAGCTAGATCATGAGGGCAGCAGGATAACAGGTTACAGAGTCTGGGCTTCCTGTTAAGTCTGGGTTATGAATTTAGGAATTAAAGCAGTTGAGTGATACAGCTTGCTGTTGTACAGGATTGACATTGTTGCACTGTAGAGGATACTATGTGAGGAGTAGGAAGGGGTGCAGAATTAGGCAGGAAAAGATAAGAGCAAAGGAACAGAATGAGGAATAATTGAAGTCTATAATTTTGGGAGAAAATCATCCAACTGATGATGCTGAGTGATGATGATTGTGAGACACATGACTTGGAAAACAATGAGGAACACATCTGTAGGGAAAAAGAATGTTTGAATTCTACAAATCCTGAGTTTGCAGTGCCTGGGAATCCTCCCCATCAGGCTGTCCCATCGGCAGTATTAAACAGGGGCTCAAGAAAGAGATTCTGCATTTGCAGATTTAGTTAATTGTTAGAAGATAGTTGATATTACGAGAATAGATGAGGCATCCTAGGCATAAAAATCAAGCCCTTCACATAAGCCAGGGTACTCAACTATGTAGATGATAGAGAATTGTGAGCTAGGATAAGAATGGGGAATATTTCCATGGCACAAATATTTTGAAACATTGAAAACTCAGGAAGCTTGAGATGTGCTGAGCCTGATGATCATTTTCCTCTGGTTGTAAATGTGCATTAAATTAGATGATCTACAGTGAATTCTCCTCTCCTTTTCTCTCTGCCTCTCTCTCAATGCCTATTCTAGTTTTATTAGCCTTTATATTATTTCGTAAATGGAGATACTCCTCTCAAAAGGTCTGTCATCATTAAAAGTAAGTTTAAGAAAATTTTGTAAAGATTTATTTATTTTACTTGAATGGTAGAGTTTCAGAGATAGGGAGAGACAGAGAAATGGAGAGATCTTCAATCTCTGGTTACCTCCCCAAATGACTACCCCAGCAGAGGCCGGGACAGGCTGAAGCCAGATTGCTAGAACTCTGTCCAAGCCCTGGTTGTTGCAGCTATTTGGGGGTTAACAGGTGGATGGACGATCTCTTTCTTTCTCTCTCTCTCTCTCTCTGTCACTGTGTCACTCTGCCTTCAAAAAAAGAGAGGCAATGTGTATTTGTATCAGTTTTTCTGAAAATACAGTGTTTTGTAAAATAAATAAATATAACCTCACTAAAGTCCTTTGGCTTCAACCCTAGCAAGAATTCAAACACATTATGGTGTTTCACAGTCTCCCTGAATTCATTTTACTAGCCAGAGGCATGTAATCCCTTCCTTCCTTCTTTCGTTCAGTTCCTATTTTAAATTTTTTAAATTTTTATTTTTAATTGACACATAGTAATTATGTATATATTGGGGGGTACAATGCATAATTTCTTTTTTTAAAAGATTTATTTATTTGACATACAGAGTTGCAGAGAGAGAGAGAGAGAAAGAGAGGTCTTCCATCCACTGGTTCACTCCCCAAATGGCTGCAATAGCTTGAGCTGGGCAAATCAGAAGCCAAGAGCCAGGAGCTTCTTCCAGGTCTCCCACATGGGTGCAGGGGCCCAAGGACTTGGGCCATCCTCTGATGGTTTTCCAGGCACATTAGCAGGGAGCTGGATTGGAAGTGGAGCATCTGGGACTGGAACCCACACACATATGGGATGCCAGTGCTGCAGGCCAGACTTTGGTGAGCTTTAACCTGCTGCGCCACTGGGCCAGCCCCACAATGTATAATTTCAATACGTATATAAAGTATATAGTGATCAATTCAAGGTAATGCATATATTTCACTTCAGAAATGTATCATTTCTTCATCAGCACACATTCTTAAATACACCCAGTGTGCCAGCACTATGCTAGGTGCTGGATATCCAGAAGTAAACAGATACAGTACAGCTTATTTCAACTCACTTCAAAATTATACAACTATAGGCATTCAAGACTGATGGGCTCCTACATCAAGGAAGAACATGCATTTCTGGCCTCTGCAAAACACTTGTTCTGTTAAAGGACTTCATTAAACAAAAATTGACCATCTAAAATAAAGACACTTGGGGATGAATCATCCTGGATGATTCTCTGGAAGTTAATGCCTTTGTGATCATTTTTGCATTGTTTCCTCTATTGGTTTAGTCAACAATTATTGAGCAGATTCTCTTCACTAAGTCAAGGATGAAAAATACAGTCCGGCTCTCAAGTAGCTCACCCTCCAGTGGGAGACACTGGAATGTAAACACTAATTATAGTAAGCTAGCAAAGAGTTAAAGTGCTGTTAGGAGGGACAGAGACTACAGAGGAGAGGTTAACTTGTGCAGATGGAGAAAGGTGGAGGTGCAGTAGGAAGAGGAGAGAAATGAGGAGTCAGAGCAGGAAAAGGAGAACCAGAATCAATTACTGACACTTTATATGATGTCATACTTGAAAAAAATGAGAGACATTCCATAATAATAATATAATAATAATAATATGATGATGGAGCCGGCATTGTAGTGCAGCAGTTAAGCTGCTGCTGGCGACATTGGCATCCCACAAAAATCAGTCCTGACTACTCCACTTCCCATTTGTCTCCCTACTAATGCACATGAGAAAGCGGTGGAAGATGGCCCCAGTACTTGGGCCCCCACCTGATGTGGAAAACCTGGCTGGAGTTCTAAGCTTCTGGCTTCAACCTGGACCAGCCCTGGCCACTGTGGCCATTCTGGGAGTGAACCAGTAGATGGAAGATCTCTCTTTCTCCTTCTCTTTCTCTGTAACTCTTTTAAATAAATAATAGTCAATAATAATAATAGATGGTCCAAATATTATATGATAACATGAACAATGAACTTGGGATTGACTAAAGGAAAATAAGCAGTTAAAATGGTCAGGTTTTTGTCCTGGATAAGTGAACAATAATGATAAGCAGTGAAGAAAGATGATGAACTTTTTTATAGGCTGAGTTTGAAGATTGACAGTTATTTTGGATTTTATTAAATATTTTCAAATATACTATAAATCACATGCATGCCATGTTATATCTTTAGTGTTTAATGTTTGTTATCTGTCATTTTCATGGGAGGCTTTGTTACAATGTAAGTTTTAAATAGTTTAATTTATAAGATCAGACCCAGTGACTCTGGCAGTGTAGAGTTCTGGATTCAGGTCCTTTCTCAGCTACTATGTGGCTATGAGCTTTTTCAGGAGATCATCTCAGCTCTGTAAAATCAGGATTCCAACAGCTGTAGGAGTCAGCCAAGGCACACAAAACAGTAAAGTGAAGCCCGTTGGGTAGGGCTGTGATGGATGGGCGACCATGCCCCATTACAAGGGTCAACTCTTTCTCATTTCTAGGTAATTTTTACCCAGCATGAACATAAGCCTAGCCTGAATGAAATTTGAAAATACTGTATTTTTGTGTGACATTTTAATGTTGACCACCTAGTAAATACATACAAACTTTCCACCAGTGGCTAGATAGGTCTGATAATAGAATTTCTATGTTGGTCTAGTTCCTGCCATTTTAGAGAAGTAGGGCATCTTCCTCCACTGCTCTGACTTAAGGTGGGAATGATCTTATCTATGGGCATTTGATTGTTTGCAATGCTGCTGTTCCTGATCAGCTTTAAGCTGTATTTCTCCTATCAATATCTCCTTTATGTTAAAGCAGTTCTCGAAAAGAGCATCTGAAGAACACACTGAAGCAAACTATGTTTATATTCCAAAGTTACGAGGGAAGATCAAGTTGAAAATGAAGTTAATAGGGCTATGCATAAAACCCGGTTTTAGGTTTTTCTTTTTTTTTTTTTTTTTTTTGACAGGCAGAGTGGACAGTGAGAGAGAGAGACAGAGAGAGAAAGGTCTTCCTTTTGCCGCTGGTTCACCCTCCAATGGCCGCCGCTGCAGCCGGCGCACCGCGCTGATCCTGGCAGGAGCCAGGAGCCAGGTGCTTTTCCTGGTCTCCCATGGGGTGCAGGGCCCAAGCACCTGGGCCATCCTCCACTGCACTCCCTGGCCATAGCAGAGAGCTGGCCTGGAAGAGGGGCAACCGGGACAGAATCCGGCGCCCCAACCGGGACTAGAACCCGGTGTGCCGGCGCCGCAAGGTGGAGGATTAGCCTATTGAGCCACGGCGCCGGCTCGGTTTTAGGTTTTTCAATTAAGGTACCTGAGAGTAGTATGTATAATAGAATTTAGAATTTTTTCATGATTAGTTCAGGGAAAAAAAAAAATGTTTTTTTAGTACTAGGAATATTAGACAAATTTAAGTATCTAGGGTGAATAGTTCAACCCCCCCATAAAAGACAGATTGTGTTTGAACAAATCACACAGCTGCTTCTAGCATTCCTAAAAACACTTATTTGTCCACATTTAATAGTTTCAATATCCAGTTAACTGACTCTTTACCCAGTATATGTGCTATTCTAGATCAGATTTTTCCAACTGGATTCATGACTAGCAATTGTAAATGAATTACAATAAAATAAAAATGAGCATAAAATGTCAGAGTATGCTTCAGAAAGAAGTTGTATTCTTAAAAATTATGTTTCTATTATGAAGTACATATATATATATATGTACATAGTGTTTTTTCAATTTTAAGGTAAACATATATTTGTATATATATTATTAATATTGACATTCTGTGTATCAGTCAGGGTACTTCAAAATGCTGATGGAAATGGAATTAAGTTCATGTTGGCATAGAACTTTCTGAAAATTACGCATAGTGTTTTTCATAGCAAGCACTCTCCATAACCTTTGTGAAAATCCTTCGTGTGTAAAGATTTCAAAAATTTTTGCACCAACCAAAGAAACTTACCTTTTAATTCAATCTTTGCGTGAACTTTTTGAAGTACTTTCATATCAATATCTTCTGAATTATGTTACAAAGTATGTTTCCTTATGTGGGCAATATTTTTAAAAGCAAATCCAATTCTGCAATAGCTACTTCAGATCTGTTCTCTCTAAATCGCAACACAATACTTGTAAGTATTACCACCCCAATTTTATATGAACAGAAATAAGATATAGTCAGCATAAGTTGTTTGTCAACAATAGGAACTCTAGGCATCCAATTTGGAATTTGAACCCTTGATATCTGGGACCCAAACCCATATCCCTTCTTCAAAAAAATACCGGAATAGAAACTAGTTTCATCGACTGTGAAGATGATTGTTTGTCACTGGATGTGTTGATTCATTGTGGTTGGTTAACTTTATTTTATTTTTAATTACTGAAATAATTACTAACTATTAACCTGTTCTAGTAGCACTTTCGATTGTGCAGTACAATCTATTTGTAAATCAATTATCAATCAATATTGGATAGATAAATACACCTCATGTAGCTTTCTTTGTATTACTATGTTTTAGTGCTTTGAATATTAAGTGTGGCTTCCTTAATTGTGAACTATTATTTCCTACAGGTAGATAATGATGAATTTAATGTTTCCCTCATGAAATCTAATGAAGAAAATAAAACTATAGAAATTAAAGACTTAAAAATATTTACGAGGTATTCCGTGGTGATCACTGCCTTTACTGGAAACATGAGTACCGCGTATGGGGAAGGGAAGTCCAGTGCTGAAGTCATTGTTACCACTTTAGAATCAGGTAAGGCATGTTTTTCATCACTGCTAAGAACTGAGACTTAGCTGTCTTTCCTCCAGTTTCTCACACTCCACTAGAAAGGACATGTGTTGCAGGAGGTTTTTAAAATGTATAATTAAAAAATGCAATGACTCACTTTGACTGATGGAAATCAAGCTATTTGCTTTTGAAACAAAGTGAAATTATGTAGACTATCCAATCCTTGTACATACAGAAACATTTCAAAGATACCTATTTGTACTTTTTTGTGCTTATTTAATTTGCTAGTAGTTTCAAGAATTGTTACCTTGCCTAAGAGATGATTTTTCCACAGTCTGTTGCCAATAACATTTTGTCTACAATGCCATTTTAATTATTTCTGTCCATGATTTGAATGAAAATTTAAGTAATAATACTCTATTAAATAATCTGGAATTCAACCTTAGAATCTTGGTCACATTTATCATAGCTCTTTTCTTCACTTAGTTAAGTGCCATGTTTCACTATGTAACTATCTGATAAATGTTAGAATCCATACAGATTTCCTCAAGTTCCTATGACTAGGGTCTGAATGAATAATAGGATACTGAGAATCAGATTAAAGTGGAAAGTCAACCTCCCAGAGCTTCCTTGCCCCATGCTCCTTCAGACTCCTCATGTTCTTTGCCACCAGATATGTCATTGGAAAGAGCACATGAAGGGATGTGTTGCTATAGTTTATTTGTTGCTATCTTTAAGGTAAGTATAGGAGGTAAAAATATTTTTCAGCTAGTTTTTTCCTTATTTTATATGCTCTATTCACTTTATATATGAAGTTATGGGTTCCAAACTACAAGGTAAATCTGATCCTTAAAAGCTAAAATTGTATTTGTTTCTGTTTGCTACCATGTTTCATAGGTACCTATTTTCTGATTATGTTTTTTACATTTCTTCATCATCCTGTGTGTGTGAAGAAAGAGACTGATGAATGTATTCACATTACACATGAAGAACTGGTTGTTGAATCTTAATGTGCTATCTTTCCCAAGGAACTTACAGCTTAATATGCTTTACTTGAATATATAAAAGTAGAATTTTAAAAGTAAAACAAAAAATCGCTTCTCAGCTTTTTGGCTAAGATCAGGTGTAAAAGTAAATAAAAAATGGGGGATAAGAAATTGTTTTGAGCACTGCGAGAATTTCTTTGCTTATCCAACTCATCTGATCCTAAATTTGGGGAAATAATACTTATAAACAGAAAATATGTTTTTCAGGTGTTATAAAATGTATTACAATTGACAAATATTTTATCTTCTTACATTCTATTTTTTATATGGAAGAAATTTCTATTTCAAGTTAATCAAAATAGATTCATTCACTCAATCAGTTGCTTATAGAAAGAACACTATATAGTGCAGCAAGAACCAGCTTCCATATTCATAAAATGGTTTTTATCTTCACAAATATAATTTTGCTTTGTAATTTATTGTTGCCTGTCTAGTTATATGCTTATGCATTTTACTTGTCTAAAATCAACTGGAATGCCTAAAATATAGAAAGAATGCTCAAAACTCAGAACTTAAAAAAATATAGTTAGAAAATCAGCCAAAGGCACTCACCACCAAAGAGCTATGTTTGAAAAACAAATAGCGGGCTGCCCCGGCTCAATAGGCTAATCCTCTGCCTGCAGCACTGGCACCCCGGGTTCTAGTCCAGGTCAGGGTGCCAGATTCTGTCCCGGTTGCTACTTTCCCAGTCCAGCTCTCTGCTTTGGCCCGGGAGTACAGGGGAGGATGGCCCAAGTCCTTGGGCCCTGCACCCACATGGGAGACCAGGAAGAAGCACCTGGCTCCTGGCTTCGGATCAGCACAATGCGCCGGCCGAAGCGTGCCATCTGCAGCGGCCATTGGAGGGTGAACCAATGGCAAAGGAAGACCTTTCTCTCTGTCTCTCTCTCTCACTGTCCACTCTGCCTGTCAAAAAAAAAAAAGAAAAAAAAAAAGAAAAATACATGATATATAAGATAAATTTTCAACATGATTAACCATTACATTATATGTAGGGAAATGCAAATTAAAATTACAATGAGAATCAATGTGCATCTACTAAAAGAGATAAAATAATAATTTCTGATAGTGTCAGATTCTGGGGAAAGATGCAGAAAAACTGGACCTCTTGCTACTAGCAGGAATGTTAAATGGTACAGCCACAATGGAAAATAGCTTTGGCAATCTCTTCTAAAACCAGACACACCTTTTCTACTTGACCCCTCAATCACAATCTTGGACATTATTCACAGAGCATTGAAACTTTTGCTCAAAAAGTTGTATGCAAGAATGCTAATATAGGATTTTTAGTAGCAAGAGAAACTGGAAACAACCCAAATGAATTTCCAGGATTAAACCACTCTGGTACCTCCATAAAATGGAACACTACTCAACAATACAAAAGAACAAGTATTGATTCATATAGTATGTTGGATGGTATTCAAGATCATTATGCTGTTGTCATTCTCAAAATGACAAAACGATGAAGATGGAGGCCAACTATTGTTGTGAGCAGGCATGCAGGGCAAATACAAGAGAAGAGTAGCAGAGAGTTTCTTTTGGGTGATGAAATAGTTTTTTTATCTTGTTTGTGGTGGTGATTATAGAAAATTTTATACATGGGATTAAATTTCATAGAACTACACATACAAATATGAGAGTATGAGTAAGCAGTGAAATTGATATAAGTTTTGTAGTCCACTTAACTGTCATACCACTATCAATTTCCTGGTTTGACATTAGACTACAGCTATATGAAATGTCACCACCAAGGAAAATTCGGGTTTCTTGGGATAATATGTACTATTTTTGCCTTCTCCTATGAGCTTATTTTATTTTAAAACAAAAACGTTAAAAAGAAATAAATTCTCTATAAAAACAAATGCACATATGGAACTGGCATTGTGGCAAAACAGGTAAAGACACGGCCTGCAATGCTGGCATCCCATATGGGCTCCAGTTCCTGTCCAGCTCCCTGATGATGGCCTGGGAAAGTGCTTTGGCCCTTGCACACACATAGGTGACCTGAAAGAATCCCTGAGCTCCTGGCTTCAGTCTGGCTCTGCCCTGGCTGTTGGCGGCCACTTGGGGATTGAACCAGAAGACTGAAGATCTCTCTCTTTCTTTCCCTCTCACTCTATTACTCTGACTTTCAAATAAATAAATAAATCTTTTTAAAATGTATATAAAAGGGAGAATAAATCAGCAAACAGTGACATTATGGGTTTTGTAAACTATAGATGTCAATGATTTGATGCTATATCAGCCATTTAGCTAGTTTCCATAATTTGGATGTTTTCACTTTAAAACAGAAATTTGTAGCAAATAAACTTTATAGGTAACAAAAAGAAAACATTAAAAATTGAATTGCTAAATATTTCATTTTAGCCCCCAAGGATCCACCTAATAATATGACATTTCAGAAGATTCCCGATGAAGTGACAAAATTTCAGTTAACATTCCTTCCTCCTTCTCAACCTAATGGAAACATCCAAGTGTATCAAGCTCTGGTTTACCGAGAAGATGATCCTACTGTTGTGCAGATTCACAACCTCAGTATTATCGAGAAAACAGACACATCTGTCATTGCAGTGCTAGAAGGACTAAAAGGTGGACATACGTACAACATCAGTGTAAGCATCCACAACTTTTAACTATATACCTAGACTATAAAGTAAGATAACATCTCAGCATTCAAAAATTCTGCAGTTATTGTTCACAATACATTTACCTTCTTGTGAAATTGGTATATGCAACAAAAAAATAGAGAAATTAAATTCCCTTTTTATAATACAGCATGTTCTTACAATGTATTGAGAAATTAGCGTTGTGGCACAGTAAGTTTATACTTGCAACACTGGCTTCCCATATTGGAGTGCCAGTTTGAATCCTGGCTGCTCCACTTCTGATCCAGCTCCCTGCTAATGTACCGGGGAAATCAACAGAAGATGGCCCAAGTCCTTAATTCCCTGACACCCATGTGGGAGTCCCATATGCAGTTCCTGGCTCCTGGTTTGCCCTGGCCCGGACCTGGCCTTTGAATCCATTTTAGAAGTGAACCAGTGGATGGGAGATCTCTTTCTCTCTCTGTCTCTCCCTCTCTCTGTGAATCTGCCTTTCACACAAATAAAATAAATTTCTTCAAAAAAAAGTATAGAAAACCAAGAAATTTATAGAAAAAATAGTAGGAATCCAGAAATAAAAAATAAAAATATATATTAAAAGACTAGTGATATATAGACAACTCTGTCTAAAGAGGACTGATTGTACATGAAAAATGAGAAAGCAAATTTCAAAGACAAAGGGCAGAATTAACAGTTTACATATTTTAAATTCACACAATTATTTCTAAAAGCTAACACCTTTTTATGTTTTAATTCTTGACTATTCATTTTAGGACATAAATCTGTGGATAGGTTTGTATATTCACACAATTTTTTTCATCTTTTACCTAGTGTTGTATCATGCCTTGCATTTTTTAAATAAAATTGTATGGTTCAGAAATATCATCTTTGAAGCATGGTGGAATTCTCCCCTGAACCTTCAAACAGCTTAGTGACCAATTCTTTATGAGTATCAGTTTACAAAACATTGTTAAGAATGTGTGTGCATATATAATGATATATTCTTTCCCATGCTCACTTTAACTTTAAATCTTTATATAATCTATCTTGTTGGAATTCTTATTGTGCATTTTGTTGAACGGACCACCACTGAATGTGAAAAAAAAATGAATTAGAGATGGTGGTGGTGAAGACAATTAACTGAAGTGGGATCAAATTTTGACTTAGCGTCTGGGTAGCTTCATCAAATCTGTACTTCACTTTTCTTACATTAAAAAATGGCAATAAAAATAGTAACTTTTAGATAACATTTTTGTAAGGATTAACTATTTATAGTTAGGTATATGAGTGCTGTATCAATTTTAGCCACTGTGAATAAGATTCAAAAATAGAAAATAAATGATACCTTATCTATAATTTAAAGAAAGATGGAAAAATCCTTTGCAACATGTAATTTACAGCCTCATTAACACCTTGAACTTTGTTAGAAATGTATTACATTAGTACCTGTAATAAGCTACTGAATCAAAACCCAAAAATTTGCAATTAACAGTTTGCAAGTGCTTCCTCTCTCACTGCAATTTGGAAAGTGGTGCCCAACTTGTTATCTCACTTAAGTATTAGGTTGTACCACAAAGAAATAAAAATAATGAACCATACTGCAGTATCACTTTTGATTTCAAATGCTTCTTTTTTAAATTTGCTACTGTAGTAAATATTTCCTTTAGATATTTTTAAACTACATCCTGTAAATTTGATTTACCTATCAAAACTACCCTATCATATATATTATTACAAATTTAGCTCAATAACAGCATTTTCAGTGTATCTTCAGTGTGGAAGGGTGAGCCACTAATGTATAGAAGAAATAACTCCAACAAACATATACTGAATTGTGTTTATCAAGTATAATGCGATTGGCCAAGAACTCGTCCATTTTCTATAGCAAGACAAAGTGAATAAGATACTGTGTCTGCAGCTTCTGAGCATGCAGTTAATTGAAAGGACCCACATTTGTGTAAATCACCCCCTGAATATACAAACAGAAATGCTTTATGTGTATATGCTGCGTTATGCAGGTTATAGCGTCGGATACTTTGGGGCAGGGGTGAAGAAGGGCATAAAGGCCAACTTTCAGCAGGATGATTTAATACAGGAAAACCAGGAGGCTGCAGGAATAGGATTTCATCCCAGAGAAGGAAAAAAAGAGGACCTTGGATATGGATTTAGAGGAGGCCAGAGTTACCTAGCCAAAGAAAGAAGGAACAGATGTTAGAGTAGATGAAGAGAGCGTCGTTATAATGGCTTTTCTATGCAGTTCCTCCTCCGCGTTCAGATTGAAGCCACAGTCCTTCCTGGTCTCTGTCACAGCGCTGTTCAGATCATTCAGCCTTTGTTCTCCGGCTTAAGGCCAGAATAGTTGTTGTAAGACATACTTTATTGTTAATGCGCTTCCTTTGTATGTTGTTTCCATTTAAGTGGTTATAAGAAAATGGACTTCATAGGCTACATGCAAGTGTTTGTAAAGAGAAATCATTTAAGAATTATAACCATGACCAGTCATCTATACAAAAAAGCAATAACCTGAAGATAGTAACAAGATTTTTTTCTTTGTTTTAGGTTTATGCCATTAATAGCGCTGGTGCAGGGCCAAAGGTTCAGATGAGAATAACTATGGATATCAAAGGTACATTCTCGAGCTGCTTTCCTATAAAATGTTGCAACCTTAATCAAAGAATGAATTTAACTTGAATTCCATACTATAGTTAAGGATGTAAAAATGTCTTTAGATGATGATTATGCATATAATAAGCATATATTAAGCAATAATGTATGCTTATAGAAGCTATGGTTAAAATGTCTAAATAATCATGTAAATTACTGTTAAATAAGGAGAATGCTCACCTCTTATATTTATTTTCTTCTAAGTTTAAAATTTTCAAAAAAATTAGAGCTGTAACTAGTTCTAATCACACTCCTTGACTGATCTGATCTTAGAAGTCAGATTCTTCTTAATCAAATAGTGTTTACTGAACTATCATAGACTCAGCTCTGATCCTGGCTATAAAGTAGATTTATCAATTCATTATTCTGGTAGCTATTTACAAAAAATATAACTAATATTTGTGTTTCTCCCCTTCTTCCCAAAAAATATTTTGAAGAGAAATTTAGAGGGACTGGCTCTATGGTGTAATGTGTTGGGCCTCTGCCTGCAGTACCAGCATCTCATACGACACAAGTTTGAGTCCCAGCTCCTCCACTTCCAATCCAGCTCCCTGCTGATGGCCTGAGAAGGCAGTGGGAGATGACCCAAGTGCTCGGACCTCTGCACCTATGTGGGGGGCCCAGGGGAGGCTCCTGGCTTTGGATCAGCCCAGCTCCAGCCATTGAGGACATTTGGGGAGTCTCTTTGTGTCTCTCTCTTTCTGCAACTCTGCCTCTCAAATCAATGAATAAATCTTGTAAAAAAAAGAGAGAGAGGGAAATTTGGAGCCATTCAGCTAGTCATGGTGATTTCTGCAAATATCAAAATGCATATTATTGCTTAAAATCAAGCAATTTATTGTGTCATCTCTCAAAATGTGCAAAAAATTTTCAGAGAAATTTTTAAATGTCTACATTTTAAATTAAAAACCCTGAAGTATATAGATCTCTAGTAGAATTCTGGCTGATACTTTTCTTTCTAAAGGAAAAAATAACTTCTCAGTCTTTGACAAGGACAGGAGAGCACAGTGACTGAAAGTGTCAGCACATTAGGTTGAGTGTAGGGTCAGACTGCTAAGATTGAACCCTAGATTGGCCACTTGAGATCTGTTTGACTTTGGAAGGTTCCTTAACCTCTGTAAGCCTGCAAAATGGAGATAATACTAGTTCTACCTCACAGGTTATTGTGAGGATTAAGAGACAATCTTGGAAAAACTCTTAGGACAGGGGCCGGGACCTAGTTCTACTAAAAGTAAAAAATAGTCATTTCTAGCAAAGCTGACAGCTTTTCTTTTCATCGATGAATAATCAATATAATGGTAATGTTATTTTCAGGTATTAATTATTTGATGTGATTTGATAAATTATATACTTTAGAATGTGCAAGTGCATAAAATCTTCACGAATGTAAGTTAAGGTTAGGCATTCACCACCTCTCAGATTATCTTGGTCTGAGTCCTCATTCCGGCTTCTGATTCTGGCTGCCTGCAAATGAGGACCAGAGGAAGCAGTTTGTGATGGCTTAAACAGTTGAGTCGCTGTCATCCATTCGGGAGGCCTGGCTTGAGTTCCCAGCTCCAGTACTTGTGGGCATTTGGAGAGTAAACCAGAAGATGGGAGCAAAATCAGTCTCTCTCCCTCTCTCTTTCCCCTTTCCCCACTCTCCCCCTCCCCCTCCCTCCCTCCTTCCCTTCCTGCCCTCCCTCTCTCCCTCTTGGCCCTTTGAATAGTTTTTTTAAATATTAAAATAACTACATTATTTCACAAAATGAATTCACACAGAAGAGCATGAACCATACACACTATCTTAATCTCTCTTTGCTATTCAGTGGCAAACGTGTATGCAGATAGCAATAGGTTCATTATTTTATTTTATTTTTGAGAGGCAGGGAGAAAGAGACAGATATAGAGCTCCCATCTATTTGTTCACTCCATAAATGCCTACAATGGCCAGAGCTGGGCCAGTGGCAAATTTGGGAGCCAGTAGCTCAATCTAGGTCTCCCATGTAGGTGGCAGGAACTTGATTATATAAGCCATCACTCCTCCCTTCCAGGGTCTACATTAGTAGGAAGCTGGAGTTGAGAGCTAGAACCAGGTATCAAATCCAGGCACTCCAACATGGGATACAAGTGTCATATCCACGAGGCTAAATGGATGCTCCCTGGATGCATAATTAAATGCATGGTAAAACTTCCCATTTCAGATGCTTTGCCCAACCCCTTGTCAAGACGGTTAGTTCTGATTTTAACTCCTAAGCTGAGGCAGGCAGATTAACGAAGAGTTTAGAGAAGATACATGCACACAGTGGCAGTGATGGGGCCCGAGAAGTAATGTGTCTCTAGTAATATCCATGACTTTGTTGGTTGTATGGAGTGTTGAATGACTAAATTTGCATCTGACAGCTAAAACAAGTTGGAAGGTAGAGCCAGATGCTGGCTTCTCTAGCTGAAACCTTTGCTCAGGTTCTCCACAATGGCTGGCTGAGAGACTCAGGTCTCTCTGAGCCTGGGCTACTGTCTCCTGAAGCCCACCTTCCTTCTCCCTTTTAGCATGAGCCACATCTGTGATCTCTGATCTGTGTCTGAAGGCTCTTGCCACCTCTCACCTTTCTGTGGCTCTTGCCACACTCTTTCACAGAGCCCCTTTATTCTTCACATATATTTCCTCCAATAGACTTCTTAGGCCTCTATTTCATTTTAGCCCGGGCTTCTTCAGAGTTCTTGCTGATGCATCAGGCAAGAAGTCTGCATTTGAATAGGATGCACCAAAGAGATGGAACTGGAGAACTAGGTCAAAAATATTCCATTCAAATCTTTATATTTAGAACTTGGATATCTGTGACATATGCTCACATACCCATCTATAAAACTGAAACAATATTGCTAATTTCCTGACATTATTGAGAGACTTTGAAAAGAGAATTTTTAAAAAAATAATGTGGAAATTGTAGTTTGGCTAATTAACATAGTGGTGCTCAAACAGCATGTGTATGTATGTATACATACAATTATATATATTTATGTATATATATGTATATATGACCAAATGAAATAAGGAGCTTCTATAAATACTGATTTTGGAGATATTTGTAGGTAAAGAATTGTCATGAAATTTTGAGAAATTATTCTGACTATTTTAAACACATACACATATACACATGCAAGCACACATATATTTATCTTTTGTTACAGAAATTCTGTCCTTGGGAATTTATTTGAGTCTTAGGTATGTAAGGAATGATAAATACAGCTAACTGTACAAGGCTAATTACTGCAGCAAAGTTTCCAAACCTAGAGGAAATGGGAATTCCCATCACTAAGCTGTTGAATAAATACGATCAAACTGCGCCATAATAAATACTACAGTCATTAAAAAAGAATGTGTCAGCACCATAGATATGCATTTTTATCTAATTATGTGAACATACAGAAAATGTAGAAACTATCATCCAGATGTTTGCCATGAATTAATGGCAGGAGATGTGCTTGCATGACTAGAACAGAAATCAGTGAACCAGCTAAGGGAAGGAAAAGGAAAGGAAAGAAAAAAAAAAGCTAAAATATTAGTAACATGTAAACATTTTATGCATTTGTGAATATTGCATGAGTGAGCACAGGTATAATTGAATTTTTTAATATGCAAAGAGGTATCAGATGTCTGAAAATCACACCTGGGCTCCATTATCTCAGGCAAGCCTGAAATTCGTAATTACAGGATCTGGAGACAATAATTGCTAAATAGCTTCTGTATCCAAACACAACTCATGTTCATTTACTATTTATGTTTGCCGTCAGTTTATCTGTAAATTACTTACATGAAATGAGAATTCCTAATAATTTTTTTTCTTTTAAGAAACAAAAAATTAATCATAGTAATATTTCTTCTATGGTTATAGCTCCGGCACGACCAAAAACCAAGCCAATCCCTATTTATGATGCCACAGGAAAGTTACTTGTGACTTCAACAACAATTACAATCAGAATGCCAATATGTTACTACAATGATGATCATGGACCAATCAAAAATGTACAAGTGCTTGTGACAGAAACAGGAGGTATCATAAAATAAAAATATGGTTCTGGTTAATGATATAAGTTGGATCCCAATTATCACACGATTGTTCCATAGATTTCCAGTATTATTAATTGTAAAAAATATTGATCACCTAAAGTATTTTACCAAAAATAAGAAAACATAGTTACCTTCTATGTTCTCCTAGGATTGTTCGGATTTTGGCAAGATTGAGTCTTGACAGTTTCCTTGGAGAGTAAACAGAGGAGTTATCTTAATTGAGAGATGTTTTTTCTCTGCCTGAAAAAATCCTCCTCCATGGGGCCAGCATTGTGGTGCAGTGGGTTAAGCTGCTGCCTGCAAATGCCAGTATCCCCTATGGGAGCCAGATAGAGTCCAGCTGTTCCACTTTCAATCCAGTTCTCTGCTAATGTGCCTGGGAAAGCAGTGGAAATGGGCCCCTGAACCCATTATAGGAAACCTGGATGAAACTCCCAGCTTTGGCCTAGCCCAGTCCTGGCCATGCAGCCACTTGGGGAGGGATTCAATGAATGAAGGATCTCTCTCTCTCTCTTCCCCTCTCCCCTCTGGTCTCTTCTTCTGTAACTGCCTTTCATAAAATAAATCTTTAAAAAAAATCCTCCACAACAGTGTCTATAGGCTCGTGTGTGATGAGGAAGGACAGGGTTACACACCTATCCTGGTCGATCAGCTGACTGGTCCATGGTCACAGTCATAGAGTAACTGCTGTTTGAATGAGATCCCCATATGCCATTGATTGTCTGTATATAAAGATAACTGAAAATGAATCATGATGAAGAATGGGATGAGAGAGGGTGTGGGAGATGGGTTGGTTGCAGGTGGGAGGGAGGTTATGGGGGAAAAGCCACTATAATTCAAAAGTTGTACTTTGGAAATTTATATTTATTAAATAAAAGTTGAAAAAAACACCATTTAAATATGAAAACATATTCATATATCAGTTTTAATCATCACTATCTGTTTTTCTAAAATAGCTCAGCTTGATGGAAATGTAACAAAGTGGTATGATGCATATTTTAATAAAGCAAGGCCGTATTTTACCAACGAAGGCTTTCCTAACCCTCCATGTACCGAAGGAAAGGCAAAGTTCAGTGGCAATGAGGAAATCTATGTCATAGGTGCTGATAATGCGTGTATGATTCCTGGCAATGAAGACAAAATTTGCAATGGACCTCTGAAACCAAAAAAGCAGTACTTGTAAGTATAGTTTATCCCCACCATGCATTGTGTTAGCAAGCTTGTTAATATCTTCCATCTATACATCTACCTATCTATCCTTCAGCTCTCTGCTAAGTACTAGAAATCACTATGCACCCTATCTTTTCAAGCATTAGCATTGGAAAGATAAACAAGACATTATATTTCATAAATATAACAGCATTAGAGCGGAAGCATGCTGAGCTAAAAGTAATGATAATTTGATCTGTTATAAAAGAGCAACATGAAAAATGTGGTATTGGAGAAGAGTAGGTGGTAGGAGAATTCTTTTTGTAGAGGACAGTATGAATAATGTGTTTTTCACTCATTGTTCAGTACGTGCTAAGGATTTGTGCCATATATGTACAGATTTTTAGAAACACTATCTTATTCTTTTAGTTAACAATTGCTGTCCTTGGTGACAGAAATAACTCTGCTTTTATGTTCATCAGACTTTTGTATGGATGATGGAAATCTTTAGTACGCATTTTAATATTTAGAATTTTGTTTCTCCTAATAATCTAATACACTGGAATCAATGCTGACATTTTGTCTTCATGAAATTCTTTGCTACATTGATTAAATTTTCCACTATGTTATAATGATTAAATTATATGTTCAGATTAGTTTCATTAGACTAGCATTTGAAAAAGAATCACTTTACCCTTTGATCTTCAAAATTTAGTTTCATTAATATTTTTAAATGCAGGCATTTTCATTTTTGCTTGCTAGTAAAACATAATTACTTGTAAATGTCTTAGATAATGTTAGCATTAGATGTTAGATAAATTAGGCAATTAAATAATATTATGTTATCTATTAGATGCAGTTATTCTTGTTCAAATTTTTTATGTTGCTTGAATTTTACCTATCACAGTATAGCAGTTATGAAAATGATACAAAAATTTCATATATTTATTATTAACATATTTACTTCCAAAACAGACTCTTCATATAACAATGAAAATCATAAGAGATTTATTGGTTTTATATTTTTAATGCCATTGTATCTGTTTATTATTTTTCTGGTAATGAATAGTTTTATTTTGTGCCTCTGATTTTAAAACTGAGGCAAACTCAGTTTTCTTTGAGGATCTTAGTGTCGCTCAACAATTTTTTTAAAGAGTTATTTATTTATTTGAAAGTCAGAGTTACACAGAGAGAGGAAAGGCAGAGAGAGAGAGAGAGAGAGAGAGAGGTCTTCTATCCGATGGTTCACTCCCCAAATGGCCACAACGGCTGGAACTGCACCAATCTGAAGCCAGGAGCCAGGAGCTTCTTCCAGGTCTCCCAGTGGGTGCAGGGGCCCAAGGACTTGGGCCATCCTCCACTGCTTTCCCAGGCCATAGCAGAAAACTGGATCAGAAGTGGAGCATCCGGATCTCAAACCAGCGCCCATATGGAATGCCAGCGGTTCAGGCCAGGGCATTAACCTTCTGTGCCACTGTGCCAGCCCCACACTCATCAATTCTTAAAGCTTGATTTTCTTCTGTCTCCTTTTATGAATCAAATGTCATAAAATGATCCAGTGTCTTAAAATGATCAAATATGACTATGCATACGCAGAAAGCATTGTCCTTCATTTGTTTACACACAAATAGGACAAATTCATATGGTCATTCTAATCTGATTCACTGATCTTTCCAAAGCTGGTTGTGGTAAAAGTTATTTGCCTTATAATTGCGAAGCATATCAGTACACTATACTTGCACAGGTATTAAATCAGTCCAAACAAATCTCTGAGGGAGGTGATTTGTTTCATTTTCTTAAACTGCTGACTGCACGTGAATTTGGCCAGATTTGTAGTCACTGCCCCCATCAAATTCCACAAGTCCTACTGAAGGACAATTATTCGTCTCCTGTAATTTCATACATATGTATGTATATATAATTGGCTGTCATTGTATATATAAATGACTGTCATTCAATTCCAAGTTTACATATTTGTAAATTCACTTTCTCTTAAAGAGTTTTAATGCTTACTTGTTAAGTTATTCATAGAAAAAAAATCATATGCAAATTTGGGGGTTTTAATGTTTTAATTTTTTTTTATTTTACAGATTTAAATTCAGAGCCACAAATGTCATGGGACAATTTACTGATTCTGATTATTCTGACCCTGTTAAGACTCTAGGTAAGACGTTTTTAAATTTCATTTAATTTATAACCTCAACATGTTTATGATAGTTGGAACACTTATTAGTAAATATATTAATCCATGGCTGTTGTTCTTAAGTATAAATTCATTGTAAGATTAATTAGCCTAAGGATAAATGGTATTTGTAATATTCTTTTAAATGATGAATCATTCATTAATTCAAATATACATATAGATTTTATTAGAGTATTGGTCTTTGCTGGCATGTACTCATTTTATCCTAAATAAATAGTTGTTTGGCTCTTTAAATATACAATCATAGATGTAAAATACTTTAATAAAAGAGAAGTTAGCTTATGGATATCTTTGCTTAAATTATGATAAAAGAAGTTAACAACTCCTTTAATATGGGTGTTTTCCTTCATTCAAGTCTTTCGTGAGTTTTTTTTTTAACCAAGCATACACACTTAAATCATACCTGAATAAAACATAGCTACAATTTATTAGTCATCACATGTACACACCATCATCACCACCATCCCCATAATCATATCTAATGGTCAATATTCTTTGCCAAGCACATTTCTAGACTCATTTCCAATGTTACCTGACAAATCCTTCTCAGCTATACCCTAGTTTAGGTCAGTGCTTCTCAATTAGAGTGATTTTGTACACCCAGGGGAAAATTGACAATAACTGGAGCCGCTTTTGATAGCCACGCAGAGTGGTGGTGGTGGCAGTGATATGGTGGTGGTTGGGAATGTGACTGGATTTTCACAGTGCACAAGACTTGAACGTCAGTAATGAGAGGAGGAGGAACCCTGAGTTAGATGCTCATGTTTGCTCCATTTTGCAGATAAGGAAACCAAGGTCAAGATTATTTAAATAATTAATTTCTGGGCAAGGATTCCATAACCACTACACTACAAATGCAGAATTAAGACCTGGGTTCAAATCTTGACTCTGCCACTTGAGAAAGTAAATAAACTGCTATAGGTCTGTCTTCTTGTTTGGAAAATGGAAATGAGAATATATTTTTTGAAGGACTGTGGAAAGTTTTAATGAAATAACATGTGTAAAATATTAATGTTGCATACTTAATAAAATTTTCAGTTAGCTTCTTTTGGATAGTTTATATTCAGATATTTTGGAAAATCCTTATTTAGGAGAAATTATTTTTCTAATATTTCCCTGAGAGGATCAAAACTTCCTTTTTTTTTTAACCAAGTCATCAAAGTCCCAAGTTTATCCATCTATAGTGCCTTAAGGTACCAGGTAGATAGTGTCTTTCTGAGACATCTCTTGAAAATGGCGGTCTGTGTGTTGCTCATATCCTCGTGTGCTGTTTCTCCATGTATTATGAAATGATGGCGATTTCAGAGATATCTGTGACTGGAGAAAGATTGTGCCATCATTTCCAGGCAGAAAATTCCCATCAGGTTGTAGAAATATTAACTGTCAAAATGTCAGCCTCTGTACCTTCTAGATAATCAAGGAAATGTTGCATCTTTATTAAATAAAGCAGCATGTGGTTTGCTACATAAATGTTTAGAGATTAATAACATAGAAATTTATTTGGCCACACTGTTTAATTCCATGAAATTATTGGTTTAATTTTACCCACATAGTTTAACCATTCAAAGCTAGCTGAGTGGGCTTGTGGTTTTGAAATTGTGTCGAGTATTTCTAGATTTGGTAGGTGGGTCTTTCACACTCTATTCTACCACGGTAAAATAAGTGGCTTTTACTCTTACCAACATAATTTCCTATAGGTTTTAGCAATAAGAAACCATTACTATAGCTAAATAGAGATCCTGGTGCATTGACTAGTGGAAGATGAGACAAAGACAAAATGGATAACTCAAGTATCTTAGAGAATATTTTATAAGAGCCATGCTGAAAGTTACTGGCCTATTGTGGTACGTGTTGTGTGCTCTCTCTCATTAACTTTCTGATTTCATGCAGATTTTCAGTGGGAGGATATTTTCAGTCAGTTACCTGAGAGGCAAAACTTAAGACATCCAGGGTGATAGAAATGAAAAACAATCTGCCAAAAATGGCAATAGAAATGAAAAACACCTTGCTCTGTGCAAGGATGGGTCTCATCCAGCACTAGATATAGTCTCAATGTCCTCTTCAGTGAAGGTATTCTGTTTCTTCTCTCCACTCACAGTCAAGGTAGTGGAGTACAACAACCAGTTCTGCAATATAGCAGAAATACACAGGCAGTTGAGGCAGGCACTGCAGCACAGTGGATTAAAGTGTTTTTTGGGATTCCTGTATGGCATATCAGGATGCCAGTTTCAAGGCCCAGCTACTTAGTATTTCCAATCCAGCTTCCTTGTGAATGCACTTGGAAAGCAGTAGACAATAGTCCAAGTACTTGGGTTCTTGCTACCCATGTGGGAAATCTGAATGGAATCTACTAGCATTGACCTGACCTTGCCCCAGATGTTGCATGCATTTGGGGAGTGAATAAGTGGATGTCTTTCCCTCTCTATGTCTTGTCACTCCACCTTTTAAATAAATGAATAAACCTTTTAAACAAATGATTCTTTCCTCTAGAATCATAGCCATGTTGCCCCAATCTTCCAGGGACTCTTAGTGTATCCTGTTAACAGCGGTAGTCTAGAGTGGGTAGAAGATTGCGATTAATGTTAGAGTACAAGATCCTACCAAGGTTAAGGAAGGAGAGACCCATGAAACGTAGACTGGACACAACAGACATTGGGCTTGTAAGAGATAGGGACAAGAAAAGGTACCATCTATTGTCAAATTTCTCAGAATTCAGTGTGGAGCAGTTACATAGGATAGCCTTTAATTTTTTTTTTTTTTTTTTTTTGAGATTCATTTATTTATTTGAAGGCAGAGAGTTACAGAGATACAGAGGGAGAAAAAGAGATATTCTATCTATTGGTTCACTACCCAAATGACCACAACAGTCTGAGCTGGGCCAAGTACAAGTAAAAGCCAGGAACCAGGAACTCCATTAATGTCCCCCACACAGGTACAGGGGCCCAAGCACTTCGGCTGTCCTCCAGTGCTTTCCCAGGAACATGAGCAGGAGGCTGGATCAGAAGTGGAACAGCTAAGACTTGGACTAGCTCCTATAGGGGATGCTGGAGTTGTAGGTGGCTTAACTTACAGTGCCATACTGCTGGCCCCTAAGCCCCTCTTTAGCATGGTGTTTGAAGGACTCTGTCTTGATAGATAGCAACTCTCCAACCAGCATTTTCCCTGAAATGATTATATAGCCAGTAAAACAGTGTCGAATGGGAGTGGAGGAAAGTAAGGATGCAATCTTAATTGTTGTGAAAGGAGAATGCATCATTGGAGGAAAAAAAGCCTTGACCAGCAAAGCAGCTCAGCCACTGTGCATGTTAGTGGATCAACGCCATCATTTACTGGCATCACATTCATCGTCTACCACGTTATTAGATATTGTGGCTCTGTGAGGGATCACATTCACTTTGATGGGGCATGCACCAAAGATGACCACTCGGAAATAATAGCCTTGCAACATATGACATTAACAGAAAGCCATGGAGTGCAAAGAGTTGTTGGCAAAAGGACATTGTTAAAGGATATTCGGTAGAACACTCAAACAGGAAGTAGTGTTTTAACCATCGTCAATAGTCAATGCCAAGAACGGTTTCACAGTTGTGAGGGCAGGGGCAGGCAAATAAAAAAGTGCACTGATAGAATAACCCTGGAGTCAACAGATGACGAAGGATGATTGAGTCACCTTTTCTCTCAAATATGCAGCGTGTTAGGATGTATGATCTCATTTGCAGCTGGCTAGTGGTTCCCAATACTCTTTGCAATCTGGCTGAAGTCTTAACTATGCATGTATGTAATCCCGAACTTCAATCAGAGAAGTCGAGGTCCTGCTTTGGGCATAAACCACCATGCCACGGGCAATGAATCCAAGGTGAATTGCCTATCGATTCAAGTTTAGAATTTAAGAATCTTGGCAAGGTTGTGTTTCTACAGATCATTTTGGTAGTGCTTGTACTTCTCAGGGATGTTTATTACATGAAACTAAAAGTAAGAACAAAAGAATCACCACAAAGCAGGGGTCATTTGGCAGTTGCTAAGATGCTGCTTGGGACACGTGCATTGCATATTGAGAGGCCAGGGTTCAAGTCTCACCTCCGTTTCTGATTCTAGCTTCCTGCCCATGAGCACTCTGAAAGGCAGTAGGTGGCTCAAGTACTGGGGTTCCAGCCTCTCACATGGGAGACCCAGGCTGAGTTCCAGTCCCCTAGTTTGAGCCTAGCCCATTCCTGAGTGTTGTGGACATTTGGGGAGTGAACCAGTAAATGGAAGTCATTCCCTCTCCCTCCCCCTCCTCCCTATCCTCCTCCCTCTATCCCTCTCCCCCATCCCCTTCCCTCTCCTCTTCCCTTTTCCCCCTCACCAATAAAATGAAATTTAATTTTCAAAACTTTTAATAAGCATCACCATGAACTGCTAAAGTAAAAAAGGTTTAAATTTAGTGAAAGGGGTTAATGGGATTATGGGTCTAGGGGTGAGGGGAGAGAGGGTTTGCTACATAAAGATCATCTGTGGTAGGGGAGTTTGCACTTAGCAAAACCTTAAGGATATGTAGGAATAAACAAGGGAGATGATATGTGTATTATTTTTAACCTAAAACTACTTATGACTTATTTGATTTTGTTTTCCTTCAAGATTGAGCATAAGCATTTTTGTTAACAAGATTCACAAGAAACCCTCTTAAATTCTTTTTTTAAATTCTGCTCAGGCACATCAGTTTATAGAAACCACTTATAGGCAACGTTTTGATGAAAAGTCTTCATTATAGAGGATTCCTGTGATTGGAAAACCAGACTCCCCTTGCTGCACCTTACAGAGCTCTCATTAAAGCTAACCAAGTTGAAGCCTTACACCCCATGGCAAAGACACGCTGTGATTGTTTTCTTATATCCTAACGCTTCTCATTGAATTACTAGGCTAATGACCACAAGCTCTAATAGCTCACTTAGACTCAGAAATGGGGAAGTGTTGTGTATCTT